GAGAGGATCGGCACAACGTCAGATCAAATGGAGGAAACATGAAACAGGTGAACGCGTCCCATCCCCGGTTCCAACACCGGGCAGCTTCCTTCCTGACGTGAAGCGTGAGTTGACCCACCGGCGCATGGGGGCCCTTGAAGGCATGAAAAGCAGGACCTGGTTGGACAGTATCTGGGTGATGCTGAATGCTGAAAACCCAAAAGCGCAAGGAACTTGGTATGGCATCTGATGACTCCAAATATAATTTGACAAAATGACACGTACATCTTCATCGCCACTTGCCATGTTGCTCTTTCCAATTCACTCCTCCCGACTTATTTGTTCTAGCTGCAACTGATTGATGAGCCTTGGGCGGCTGTAGGGACCATCTCATGTCCCTGTTCTCATACACCCAGCCACCCAGCCCAGGAAGTGGTCGCAAATGGCCCACGAACACCTCTATTGCAGACTGAGCTCAACCCGCCAAACCATGTGATGTGTTCGTCAGAGGCAAAAGAGTAAATACGTTGATCAACCTAGAACCTCAGAATTGCTGGCTCACCTCACGTTTGTATGTGTTTGTCACAGTTCTCTACACCCTGCGCCAAGCCACACGCCCACGCTTCACTTTTGCGATCTCCCATCTCCCTCTGAAGCTCGCGGCACCTACTAGCGAGGCGCAGGGCTCTTCTACAGTTCTACAGCTTTTGACCTTTACTGCAAACACTCCCGAAAAGCCCTTCCTGTAGACGGCAAACACTCTCAGAAAAAGAACAGACTGAAAAAAGAAGCCCCTTTACCGATCGCTCAATAAATGCTCAATAGCTCCCAGAAACCGATCGCCTCCGGGAGGCGGCGATCGCGCGGGTGAAGTCATTCAAATGCATCCTAACCTCTGCCTGCCAGCGGGTACGGAGCACCTGAGTTCCAATCTGGAATTCCATTCTTACTCTTCATCGGACTCACCAAGAATCCTGTTTTGGAGGCCATCGCAATTAGGTTGTCGGCCATTAGAATTATATAGGTTGGAGGCCATCGCTATTAAGTTGGATGCCATTACAATATATTACAATTAGGTTGGAGGCCATTGCTTCTAGTGTGTTTTTTTGCCGTAAGTTTTACATAGCGACTCCAAGCAGGCTGCCTTGGGCCTCCTATTCTGCCAGTTCACCCCGTTCGGTGATGGTGTCCAGCTGCAAAACAACTGGAGAACGAACCCAAAACACATGTTGAAAGTTGAAATGCATGTGTCTGTGTTTCTTAAACGTTGGTTCTGAAAGAAATACTCTGTCCATTCACACTGGAGTTTCTACGCTATCAATGGAAAGTCTACACTGAACCACGCAGTGTCGAGGGCCCAGGCAGGGGTTCAGGAACTTCAAAGGTATAGCGCCAAAAACAAAGGACACTTGTAGTACTATTCGTGGTATAGCCGCAATAACTGTGTGACATTCAGCTTGACCGAACAAGTGCCTGGGTCTCCCGAGAACTCAGTTCCCTTCGCCAGCAACACCCACCTGCATCCGCAAGGCATCCGCCTCCCCTTCGCGGTCGGCCACGGAATTGAAGATCCGCTGGGCTTCCACCGTCACTGCGGCGCCTCAACAGATCGAAATGGTCCAAATGCGCAGCGCCCCGGGGTGTTGCCGCTCTAAGCTCTGCAGGTGGCTCAAAGCGGAATATGACACACAAACAAGCACATGACGACCATATTCCGCAGTGGTTTTGCTGTTTCTTTTCGAGCTTCCCAAGCCTCGCTTCAGTTCCCCTCGCGCACAATAGGCCGAGCACAGCTGCAGCAAGGCTGAAGCCTGGACCAACACCGAAGAAGGTGACGAAGCGCGCGGGAGAGGGCAAAGCCCAGACTCCTTTTGAGGATGTAGATAGTAGAGGGACAAATTCGGGCAGTTGTGGTCAAAGTGGGATAGACGTGGCGGAAGTAGCGGTAGCAGCAATAGGCAATAGTAGTCGTAGTCGTAGTTGTAGTCATAGTGGAACTAGTGTAGCAGTAGCAGTAGCAGTAGCAGTAGGAGTAGCAGCAGCAGCAGCAGCAGCAGCAGCAGTACTACTGATTAGATGGTGGTAGATGCTCAAATGAGATCACAAACCAGAAGATTGAAGGTAACGCCTTTTCTTTGAGGGACCATGTCTCATGTTCAGACTGGTGAGTCGACTGCATTACAAGACGATCAGGTCAAAACAGGTCCACCGTGCATGGATTGTGAATTCTCGGATGGGGGTAACCGTAAAAGCACACCCAGCAAAGCCAAGACCAAGAGTTGACAGCTAGGTGGCACTTTGAATTTAATTGCTTCCGGTTAAGGTTTTTGGAATCCTGCATTGTCCAATTAGCTCCTTCTAATCCATCCTTCATGGATTGGGGTATGGATCGTGCGTGGGGTTGGTGGGTCTGTGGTCCAAGCCTTATGTTTCTGGCCGCAGCCAGATGTCTTTTTGAGGGATTTGAAAGAAAACGCAAAGGAAACGCTTCCTCTCGAGACGGCGAGACTCTTTTTTGGTTTTGGATGTCGCTGTGGCTCAAAACTCCGGCACCGTCGTTGACCTTTGAAAATGAACAAATCCCTTTATAAGGGATGTCAACCTCCCGAAGTTTTGAGTCATAGTCATGTATGTGTTTTTCAGAATGAAAGGATCAAAACACCAAACAAGAAAGAAACGCCAAACCCCCAAAATGTAATCATGCAAACGTGCTCGTTTGTATTCAGCGTCCACGGGATGCTGCAAATTCAAGGCACTGTGTCCAAAAGCTCTACCTTTGCATCTTCTTGACGCACAAAATCCAAAGGATGCTTTCACAACCTGTTCTCCTTCAAGGTCATAATTTGAAGTCAAAAGGTTTGACACCGCGGCAAGTGGCCCATGTTGAACCATGTTGGTGTGTTCTTCTGACATTCGGGCGCCGGATTCCCGCCGATTCCGCCCCCTCGGATGGGCACCTCGCCCTTCTTGGTGCCGGTCTTCCGCGACAGGTCCCTGGACTTCATGGCCGCCTTTAGGCCCAGTCGGTTCTCCTTCCTGGCAAGCCGGCGGGAGAGAAAAACTCGTACCGCGAGCGCCGCGAGGGGGTCGACATCGAAGGAACACCCCAGACAGGGTGGTCGTTTTCCCACACTGCACAAGCGTCTTAGCTGCTTGTCCGCCAACAAGGGGCATTCTTCTCCACGTTTCGACCAGACTGAGATGGGGTTCATTTTGAGAGCGGTTCGCTGGTTCGCTCATGATTAATGACTCATATACGGCGGCTTCAATCGCCCAAGCTGCTTCAGGAGCGCCAGCTCAGACTGGAGCAAGTAGCACGCAGCCAGGGACTTCCGGTCCTCCGAGGTCGACCCCCCGCGACTGCGGAAAAGATGCAAACACTTCCTTCCCAAAATAGGCTTCAGGGGAAAGCACCCATCGCACTTGGTGGGAGACCAGTGTGAAGAACAGAGTGAAAAAAACAAGAAAACCTCTCCAAGAAGGTGTCTGATGGTCTTGGTGAAAACCGCTGAGACGAGCCGATGTGCCAAGTCGAGATGAACACCACAAGGAGGTTTCATCATCTTAATCTGGCGTTTCTGTAAATGAAGCACCCAGGTTGGTCCAGGATGTCCGTCAATTCTCTATGACTCATGACTCATGTTCCACCCATGACTGGATCTTGAAGCTGAATGCGATGAGCCCTATCTCTTCCCAACTCCAAAAATCACTGGTGTCACCAAACTGCCTTCTGCTCGTCCGCCAATTTCATGGCTTGGTCGATGGTGTGCTCCGCTCGTTCGGCATCCTGGAGTCAGTCACATTTGTTACTAGTAGTTTCTTGCTCCTAGTAGTAAGGCCAGGAGCTCCTAGCAGCGTCCTTGCTC